GTGCTCTTTCTGAAAAAGACTATTTCAAGGTCTGGCTGTTGATTTCTTTGGCCAGAAACAGTTGCGCCCAGCTAACAGCTGCTTTGCCAGATGGAAATGCACAAATGAAATTAAATTTAAGATGACTTTTACTGGCCCTCAGCCACAATCAGATCAGATGCTCTCTCCCCCGCCCGCCCGAAGATGATCTCGAAATGAGCCAATTTCTCCCATATAATGTGCAGCCGCCCATCAAATTAATCAATCCGCGGGATTGAAGGGGCGGCCTTTGAGCAAACTTTAACCCTCTGCTGTGGCATCTGGTCGATTTTTGGACAATAGAACGCTGGTCTGCTGTGTGCGCCATGGCGAAGCTTTCTCTATTTGCCAGCTATTTTTGGATGGACACAACGATCGCAACGCTCGTTCGCGAAAAGCGCTCTGGGAGCGTGTGCGTGTGCGATCTGCTCCGATCTGTTCCGATCTGTTCGGGGGAATCCGTGCTGTTCGGTTCCGGCGTAGCACAGATTGGATTTTAGTACAAATTCGTTAGTCGTACAAATCGCATGACTTTGCGGGCGGTTTAAGGCCACAAAACAAAAAAAAAATAAACGAAAGAAAAAAACAAAAAAGCAAAGGAAAAAGAAAAACCAAAAGACACTTTCAGCAGATCAGCTGAAAATTACGGATTGCCAAAACTGAATAAATAAATAAATCAAGGAATTTTCTTGTTGTATATAAACACACGGAACGGTGCAACGTGCATTTCATATATTAAAAACAAAAAAACAACATAATATATAAAAGATATAAGCCATAAAAAAAACACTATCTAATTAAAATTCTATAAAATACTTTCTGGCTGGGGATATTCTAGACTTGTAGCTGTAATTTTAGGCAAATTTTAAGCGTATTCATTTTTGTTTTGATACTCACAATTTCAACGTGAAACAGACAATAACGGCAAACGGATATATAGGCTACATTCGCCCAAAAGTATATAGACAGATTCCCGATATATATATACCCAGCGAATACGGTAAACTGGGCTATTTTCATATTGCGAGATGACGACGCGCGGCATACGGCGTAAAAAGTCAACGTTGACAGAGTTGAAAATCGCAGTTATTGGCGCGCCCAGTGTTGGAAAGAGCGGTAAGAAGAGAGTTTTCTCCAGAATACAATTGAAAAAAGAAACAAATAATAATAACAGAAAAAAACTCTTAGGAAAAGCGAGCAACAGCAAATTAGTTGAGCAATCGCCGAGTTCGTATATATTTAGATCCGTTGTTTGTTTTGTTTATAAAGTGGCAGCATACATATACACATGCACACATGTATCTCAGAGCATGCCGCTAAGTATATATATACTTACATATCTGTATCTATATCTATATCTGTTGATGTTGCTGTATCTGTATCTGTATCTGTATCTGTGCCTTTGAGTAGCTCGCATTTTCCTGTAATCGTTTCACCGTTCGATTTGACACGCGTTCACCCCACAGCCAACAATTTATGACGGTCACTGTGTCACACACACATACACACACGCACACACTTTGGGTGGGATCACAGAAGCTTGGTTGCATTGCGACTTAGCTGCAAATTGATGTTCTCTGTCAGCCATCATCTCATTTACGGCGACCGCGACCCTCGCCCCCGTAAACTTTGAATTTGTAACAGTTTGTAGGCACCTTAAATGACTTCCGCCTGGCGCGGCATCTGTCAACTTCAGGTAACACCCAGCTATTTTATGGCCCGAAAGCATAAGCCGGCCCGTGTTAGGCCCAAGAAATATGACTAGAATATATGCTCTACTAATAAATATTCATTTGGCGCAATACACTTGACGTCTGGCATTGATACGCACTGACAGCTGTACCCGTAAATTGTCGCCTTATATAAGCATGAGGAATCCTAGGCAGACCAAAATACAGACGAACAAAAACTTCGAAATAGGAAGTTCCAATCGCCCTGGAATAATCGAATATACTTATGTCCAAGTCTAATCTAAGCTAATTATGCCATATAAAAATCCCAAATGCATACTAGATAAATGTAAGAAATGAAAGATAACAAGAAGAAGCCGAATATTAATTACCCTTCTATGTCTCATAGGATCGGAGATCTCCACTATTATAGTGGCAAAATGATAGTATCTCAATTAGGGAATGAAAGAAAATACTGAAAATTAAAATTTAAAGCAGAAATAGTTATTTTAAAATCTATTAAACAATCATACTCGTTTCTATCTTATATATACTATCAAAACTCTTCTTTTAACTGTGGATCACAAACCTATCTATGATATATGTATATTATCTACAGTCCTCATCTAGTTGTCGCATTCAGAATAGCCATGTCTGATCTTAACTCTTATATCAGCTTTCAAACGAATGATGCATAAAACAAAACTTTAAAGATTACAATAAAATAACATATAATATATTGAAGGTTAAGATATGTCTGAAAACTTCAATGATTAATAAACTTGTTGATCTATTTTACGGATCTCAAATGTGTGCAGCATACTAGCCTTGCTATGAGAAAACAAATAAGGTTTAATGATGTTTGTTTCGATCAATTAGCTGATCATACAGTTATTATGCGCTGCATACTAGTCCTGAAAAGGGAATTAATTTCTTGAGCTTCTTTTGCCAGCTGTCCACTGTGAGCTGCATACTAGCCTTAATTTGCAATTTTTTCTGTGTCAATCTAATCTAGAGAATATCAAGAGCAATGCTATCTAAAATACATAAGCTCAGTTATATATATATATATATTATTTTACAACCTTACCCACTGTAAGCTTAACTATTTACTTTTACTTGGAAAAAAATTGTTTTGAATATGAGTTTGTGGAAAAAAAATAAGAAAAATGGGTACAAGCACTTAGTAAATGGAATTTTTTTAGGCGCCAGCAAACGTTTAAAGCAGACATGATCGTATCTGTGATATATGCTGTTTGTAGCTATATATATTTATATATCTATAGGTATATCATTCAACCGCAGATATAGCACAAATATTTAATGCACTGAAGCGCCAGGGGCATGCGTGTGCGAGCATGTGTGTGTGTGTGTGTGTGGCAATTAAAGCGACGCCCACCCGGCGAGGGGCCGTGGACATGGTCCGATCCAATTCGATTAATGCCCAACGGCCAGATGAGACAGTGTGGCCAGATCTTTGTCGTAATTTAAACAAAAATTTAAACGTTGACCTCGTAAAACTACATATAAAAAATAAATAAAAACCAGAAACAAAACGTTTGCCGAAAAGCATAAATTAAAATGCCAGCGAAATGTGCGGCTGCTATGAAAATAAATGATGAAAATGTCATTAAAAGCGGTCAGTGGGCATGTTTTTGGGGAAGGGGCTGGATGGAGGGCCAAGAGGTTTACGTGCCAAGACAAACTAACGGGCAATACCTGTGCACATTTAGTTTATATCCTTTTGGCAAGCAGCGCCTGCGAGACTTGGTCAGAGTTCAAAGCACTTGCATTGCAAATGACCAGAGGCTCAGCCGAGACAAATACACACCCTTTCAGTCTGCCCAGCCCCCCCCCCCCCCCCCTCCGCACTCTTAGACCATTCCCTTGCGTTGTTTTGTTTGCTTGCAACACGCAACGTTAAGGCTCAAATGTGCCCCTGTTGTTAGTTGGGTTTATTAACCCCTCAAGGTTTGCATACAGTTTTCCTTTTGCCCACCTGCTCGAAGGCGGCTTTTCCCTGGCCACATTTGAATTTTCAACTGTCGTATGAGTTTTTCGCTGTTCACGCTCGCTTAGGTGCTGACCCAGTAGTATTTTTTTTTTCTCTCTATTTTGCAGGGGTTTGTTTTCTAAGGGGCGTTGCGTCGGTTTACACCTGATCGCTGTGATAGCCGGCGCCAAATTAAATTCTGTTATTTAATTTTATTGCAGCCTTAATTGTGCGTTTCCTAACAAAGCGTTATATAGGCGAATACGATCATCAGACTGAGAATCGCTACAAGCACGAGTCCATGGTAGATGGTGAGCCGGTGCTCTTCGAAATACTCGACACATGTCCCAAGGTAGCTATATACGGTTAACACTTTTTACCCTAACCCAAACACACACAAAAAAAGCAAAGAAAAAAGAATAAATACAAATTAAACTATAAACAACTCAGGCCGAAGATGAATATCCCAATGCTGCCGAGCTGATACAGTGGGCCGATGGCCTGCTGCTCGTCTATTCCATAACCGATCGCAAGAGTTTCAACTATATACGACGTGCCAAATCCGATCTGCAGTCGGATACGCCCGTTCAGCTGTGCGCCAACAAGGTGGACATGGTGCATCTGCGTCAGGTCAGCCGCGACGAGGGCGAAATACTGGCCAAAGACTTTGAGTGCAAATTCAGTGAGGTCTCCGCCGCAGATCATGTCGACCAGGTCGCCGAGGTGTTCAATGACCTGTGCAAGGAGGTGCTCGCCTGCAAGCGCAAGTCCAAGCAGAGCCTACTGGAGCGCATGCTCGGCGGCACCAGGCCCTATAGCAGAGGAAAGAGCGATAGCAATTTGCCAAAAGACTGATATCAACATTTGTTTAAATCAAATATACTCATTTTTATTAAAAGTTAAATGTCCTTGTTTCTTTCAATTACAGCTTGAATCTGTTGGTTTAGGCAATTTATTTATATAGAAAATTCGGTATTTTATGGCACGCCGAAGTTGACAAATATCGAAAAGAAAAAAAAAGGATTATTATTATTAAACCTTTTAAATTTTTGATTCTAACTAAAGCTCATGTGAATAATATTATACTCAGCTGCATACTTTTAGCTGTCACTGTTTTTACTTTGTTCTACGTTTTATAACAAGCAGCTTTTGGTGGAGTTTTCAAAGCTTTTTAACGTTTTTTAAAATGTTTATCAAGCTCATAGCTATAAGCAGTATATAAATAGAAGAATAAAATGAAAAGAATAATTTTATGCCTTCAAAGTATTTTGCGAATAAGTTCACTAATTTTTATTACGCTTATTTTATTCTATTTACAGGCGCGCACACAGTGGTTCATAACAAAAAGCTTATGACAGAGTTTTCGAGGGCTTTTTGCAACTTTGAATAATAGATGGCCGATGGACTTAATGTTGCGCTTCTAAAACCTTTATTCGAATTGGCGCTTTATTCACTGTGAGTCACAAAATTAAGTTTACATTTATTTGCCACATTGAATTTTACAAAATTTAACATCCTTCCACATACTTCGATATATATTTGCCTATATTTATCTATATTGAATCTTTTCACTTGTATTTTTTATACACAACCTCAAAGTATGCAACACTTTTATGCTCAGGAGGCAAAGGTATGAACATAGGCGTCGCGTCTTTGTCACCAAAAGGGGTTATGTCATTATGTGACTGGTTGGTTGTTTAGTAAAATCTCAGAATATCTTATAATATTTTTTCATTATAAACAAATGTATGTACTGTATATTAAGTAGTTTCGCGAACCGGGCTAGGTTAAAACTTTTTGGCTCTCTCTGTCTAGCTTAGGTGGATAAAAGCTAAGAAGCATACTTTACAGACTGGCCAAAATATACTTTTATATTATAGCGTCAAGTATTTCAGCTGATCTTAATAAATAAGCTTAATTATAAGATTGATTTGTAACGACGCGACCTTTGTCAACCTCTGGACTGTGATGTCGCCCCTTTAGCGAGACATTTGCACACGTGTGCTCGACTTTTAATTAACCAAAGTCAACAGCCCCATTGAAGCGTGTAAGTCCGTATATCTACTTAAACAAAAACTGTCGACTGCTGTGCCGTTCTATATACTTAACTTGAATTCAAACTTAACTTAAACTTTCTGACAACATCCGGAACAGTTCAGCTCTCAGCTTAGCTCAATTATTGTGTGGACATTTCATCAGCTCTTCCTCCAGACTTTGCCTGTGATTGTATCCAATTGTGATGTTTATTTAACTAAAACCAAAATATTGACATGCTTAAAACAGACAATGAAAGCGCGCTAAAGAGCTGCAAATTCAATAATCATGGGTAAACCCGGCCCACCCACAGCTCCGCTCTCGGGTCCACATCACAATGCTCATACGACCCGTTGGCCAGCTGCCTGGCAGACTTTGTGGGCCACCTGTTGCTTGGGCCTGGACTGTGGGCGCTGGCCAGCCAGGTGGGTCGGGGCGGGTCGGGCTGAATTGAATAGCGCTTGGCAACCGACGACTATCAAATGGAAATTAAATCCACAATTTTCTTGTAATTGTTCGAGCGAGTGCAGCGGCAACAGCTTGGGGCATGAAATCTCACAGGTTTTTTTTTTTCGCCCAACTATTTTTAATTAGTCGCACATTTAAAATTCTAATGTTAATTTATGATTGAAAGTGGTCGTTGTGCTGCTTAGCTCAGCCCAGCTCAGTTATGCCAACAGACAACAGCAGCCCTTCTATTTAAGTCCAAGTCAGAGTCTGGGCCAGGTGTCGCTTATGGTTCAAGCTTTTGAACTGATTAGCCGGCCCGAGAGCACCTGGCTCTCATTGCTTTTATGCAATTAACTGGCCGATTGTATGCCCAATCGGTGTGCTGTAATAACTTTTAATTATGGACCAATCGGCATAATAATGTTCTGGAAACTCACTTTGCATGCAAGCAGTACCTCGAAAGCACCTGAAGGTCAGCTGAAGGAGCTAACTCTGAAGGTATTGGCATAGTTTTAACTTAAATGCTACATTACCTCAAAGAAATTAAAATAAACAATAATTCAAGACCTGCTAAGGCATTTGACACTTGGGCACACTCAACGCAAAGATACCCTGTACAAGCTGCTGCAAATTTATCATTAAAAAGAGCACTTAATCTAGTTAGCTTTGAAAAGCCCCAGCGTAAATGGAACTTTTGCCTAGACAACGTCAGCACCTATTTTTCACACTAGTAAAGTTCCTAAAAGTAATATTCCCAAAAGAATCTCCGCACTTATCTTTGAAAATATGTTTTGAGGCATCAAACAGACGAGAACCTTTTTGTTTTTTATTGTTCATCTATGCGAATCGATTCTGTGTCGGGCTGTGTACTGAGCATCAATCAGTCAATCAGATTAATCTGTTATATAAGCTTAAGAGAAGAGATAAGTTTATAGAGATGAGAAGCCTTACTATTATATCATGCTCTCTACCGAAACGAATATACCCTCTTCTTTGTCTGTAGAGATGAGCCTATAGAGATGGGAAGCTGAGCTGGCAAGATCTCTATCGAAACGAATATACCCTCTTCTCTGTCCTATGAGTACTATCGACAACATTTCAGTAAGTATCGATAATGCCAACAGGGAAGCTTTACTGGCATATCATTCTCTCTCATCCTAACGAATATACCCTTTCTCTGTCTTATGCGCTATCTAAACATCCTCAGCGCATTCTCTCAATCGTTCCACCAGGTATGACAGGTAATCTAGGGTATTTAAATTTAATAGAGTACTAAGTCTTGAAACCTTAGAAAGGCAGTCGTAAATTCTTTGGATGCTTCCCCGTAAGATTTTGGTGGTCAAGCATTTAAATTGACATATGTCAAGCTGCCCAGCCTCCACACAGTGAAACCCCAACACAGACCCGGCCCAGTGTAACCAGTTTGTGTTCTAATTAGACTCAGAAGCCAATTGGCAATTATATTTGCTGATCATTTAAATTAGAATTTGCAACAGGTGCGCCTCGTTGGCGACGCAACGGCGACGGCGATGGCGGCTGTGCAGTCTACAAATGGCCGCCTAACGGTTTGGCCGCAACGCCCCGATTTATATATATATATATATATATATATAAATATGGTATATATATATATTTAACAGCTGGCAGTAAGTATATTTTTGAAAAGTTCAAGACAAGTCCAAGATTAAATGACTTAAGAAAGAAAAAAACCGAAAAAAAAAACCGAAAAACCTCGCGAATAATTGGCCCGAAATGGCGGCCACAATGCCAAGCGAATTGGCTAAGCGCAATGTGTAAGTCATTGACTTTGATATTCAATTAGCCAAATACCAAAATGCCAAACCAAAATGTTCTACTTAATTCTGTTGCTGTTGGCTACTGTCAAAGCCAAGTCGGGCCCGGCCCGGCCCAACCTTGGCACTTTATGCGCCTTTAATTAGCCAAATTTGAAATTTGAAATTTGAATTTAAAATTCGAAATGGATTTGCACGGCCAAACGAAACGTGACGTTCCAACGTCTTTTACAGCTCTCTGTGTGTTAAGTTGAAGTTTAACTTAAACAATTAATACAAATTCGTGTCTGTCTATATGGCTGTGTGTGTTTGTGCTTTTTAATTGCAAAGTGCATTCGACTTCCGGCAATTACACATAGGCAATTCGCTCGGCGGTTCAATAAACTCCGCTGTCCCAGAGCGTTTCCTGCAGCCCTAACCCAAATATTCACTGACTTTGACCAAAGAGCCAAGTTCTAAAAAGACGCTACTGACCATCGGCACGTATACCATTTTCCACCTCAATTCCTACACATATACATATATATACCTTATATATATATATACCATTAAATGCAAATAGAACTTCGTCTGAGCTCAACATTAAATGTTTGATAAATGTCTAACCTTAGTTGTAATATTTTTTATAGAATTAAAAGCCCGTAATTAAAATTGGCTTCTAAATGCACGCTTTAAGAGCTTTCAGTCATAATTCCCACGTCTGCAATTCGACAACATTGTTATATTTATCAAAATTAAATCTTGAGAATTTTTACAAAATTGATTACATTTTTCAAATACCCTGTTACCTTGAGAACTCGTTTAAATAAATATTCAATCTTTTTAACTTAAAAATATATAATTTCATTAATTATAATAAAATATATATATACCCTGTAGATTGGGCCTATACCCTGTAACCTTGAGAATTATTTTAAAATTAAAATCAAATCTTAAGAATATTATGAAATATTTAACAACTTAAAATAGAAAAAAGAATAACCATTTTTATATACCCTGCCACTCTAAAAGTTTCTTTAACTTGAAATCAAAGCTTGGAAATACTTAAAAAGAAAGTAATTTTATCAAATATTATTGAATCAGAATTTACTTAATTGAAACTAAAATTATTTAAAATTAAAACAATATTCTATAAAATATAAAATATACGCCTAAAGAATTTATTTACATTCACAATCAAATTAATAGTTAAATAATTTGTTGGAATATATACATTTTAAACTAACCAAATTTATTCAATTTTGTAATCAAATCTCTATTTACTAAATTTTAGCTGAACATTTAAAAAATAATAAGAATATTTGTTATAAAATATGAATTTACCCTGTAACCTTGGGAAGATTCAAAAAATTGTTGAAGACAAGGTTGTGAATATCTTTTGCGACAGTTAGTTGAGGTCAACCTTCTCTCCTTAGGTTACATACATATGCAAATGTAGCCTTTCATTAGTCCAATTCCAGTTAAAATCGTCATACAGGGTATCTTTTGCGTCTCCCTTAGCTCTGAAAGTCGTGCATTGTATTGCTCGCTATTATGCTGGATTCTATTTTAAGTATTAGAACGGCAGCTGGCACGTTTCTATAGTATTACCCGGACCCGGTTTTATTGGTTTTATCGCCCACATCCGATCAGCTTGTGCTGCCGCTGCCAGCAATTAACACATTCAATTTCTATTCAACTCAGATCAATTATCATAACGCTTGAGTTTCTGTTGTAATTGCCAATGCGATAAATCTGTGACACACGCTGAGGTAGGTCATGTTAACAATCAGCTGGCATTTTCAAAGAAGTTCAACAATATATATCGTTATGATTGCCTATTGAAACAGAGCAAAAAAAAAAAAAAAAACCTTTGAAATAGAATGTGATTTATTTCTTGAGACACTTTTAAAGATTCTTGAACTATTGTGCGCTGCATATTAGTTAAGTATAGTTATAAACTATCGAACTAACTTTTTAATAGCCCTGGCATACTAAGGCCTTCAAGTAATATTCTTTATGAGAGCTTGATACTCAAACCCGGATCCGAATCCGGATTCTCGTTGCCTTAATTCTTTTGTTCTTCTTCTAACTTCCATGTGAATCTGAGACTATATCCTTAGATCTTGTATACATGCTAAGTAGTCCTAAAAAACGAATGTAGATCGTTTCTGCAACTAGAAGCCCAAATTTGCATTATAATTCCACAGCTACTTGCATTCAAATATTAATAAAAAAAATTATTTAATTTAAATGCTCAGTTTTTTTAAGTTTTGCGAATAAAGTCAGCTTTATTATAGCATATTTAGCATGTAACTGTATAATAGATGTATATATATATGGATAAATAGTATATAAGTTTTAATAGAACTTTCTTTGGTTATTTTATTTATCTGAATATAATTATTTTTGCAGCCTGCTAGACAAGCATGGGGACCAACCCGCTGCCTCTGAATATAATTCTATATAAATGTAGATATTTTTATATATTTTTTTATTTGTTTAAATAGTAACTGCCAATCTTTAAATATATGTAGTTATTTTGGCTATAATATTTAAATTCAACATTGATACGTAATTGAACGTTAACACTTGTTCTCAATATTTGTCAATAGAATGCAACAAGAATAAGCTATTAAATTGATGCTCTGGTAATTGTCTAATATAAGTATATGTATTGAATAAGATGCGTATTATTTGTTCCCAAATTTCTAGTTCAGTTAGAAGCATAAATATATATTTTAATATAATTATTGTTGCTTTTGATTTTAATAATTCGCATATTTATTGCTGCCTTGCGTTGCTTTAACAATTATTCTTTAAGGTCGCAACAAGCTTAACGTTTTTTTTTTTCAATTAAAATTCTTAAATTCATTTTTTTCCCTAAATCGTTCACGTTAATCGCAATCTCTTCAAATTCCTAAATAATAATGATATCATCTCACAAATGTTCCCTAATCAGAATCAGACTTTAGAGCATAAAAAGCGAAAGTTGATGTTAAATGAAAATTTAAAGCTACAAAAAAAGAAAACTTGAAATAATAAACAAACAACAAGCAGTTGAAATTATTTTTCAATTATATGTTTAAACTTTATTAATACACAAAACTTATGGATAAGTAAAATAATAAACTCTACATACCTACAATACAATACATAATAGTCATACAAATAATAATAATAGATAATAATAATAGTACACAATTGTAATATTGTCGTTTCCAGTTATTGTACAATGTAAGAAAAATCTTCAGCTATATATTTCCTCATCTAACATTTCGTCTAGTGCTTTCTCGTTGTTTTTTTTTTTTTTTTGTGTCATTTTTTATCTTTGCTTTTTTTTTTCGTTTTGCTATTGATATTGCCAAGAAAACGCTCTACAAGAATACAAATATATTTATATATTGATAGAGAGAGAGGGGGCCAAGTAGATAAGTATTATTAACGCGTTCACATATTTGCATTTTTTAAGTAAATAATTATACGAACAAAATAATACAAAAACAGAAAAAAAAAACAATATGTGGGCTGAGTATAGCAGCGGTTGTATTGTGCTTCTTTTTTTTTACTAAATTGTGTGTGGAATGGTTTCTTGGTTTCTCACAATCACTTACAAGTCTAAAGATTTTTTGGTCCAATAATATTTAGTTGGGGTTAATAAATATGCAATGCACAAAGTGAAAGTCGGGGGTGGGCGGGCGTTGTGATAAAACAAAATCAAAAAAAAAGAGGGTAAATGTAGCCAAAGCGAAAC